CCAGGCGACCGTTGCCTGAGGTCGCACGGCCCCAGGTGGTGGTCGCTGAGGTCGCGCGACCCAAGCGACGCCACCTTGGGTTGCCGGACCTCGGGCGTCGCCTTGGTCGCGTGACCCAGGCGACGCCTGAGGTCCGGCGACCCCAGGCGACGGTCGCCAGGGTAGCGCGACCTCGGGCGGTGGTCGCTGGACCTCAGGCGTCGCCTGGGTTGTACGACCCAGGCGACGCTTGAGGTTGCGCGACCTCAGGCCGCCTCGCTTGAGGTCAGGCGATGGTGGCTAGCGACCAGATCTGATTGTCGGCGGTTGGCCGGCGACCAGATTTGGTCGGCAACGGTGGCCGGTGGTCGAACTCCACCGGAAACTTTTTTTTTTTTTTAAATATTAGCAAAATCCTTTACAAAATATATTTTTTACCGAACGGTATTTAGGCCAAAGTTGCTTTCAAATACACTTATCAGACACTACTTGCATTTTGGGAAATCCCTTTAGCCCAAAAGTATTTGCATTCCCCAAAGGCATTCCTTCAAAGTCGAACCAAACGGACCCAGAGTGTTGCTGAGGGTGATGATGATGGAGTAGGTGGAAAAGCCGGGTTGAAATCATCGGGATCTTGGGCGGGATCGAAGGTGGCGAATTTTGATCACCATTTTCCTTCCTTTACCCTTCTCTCTAGAAACCAACCCCAAGTTGCTTTATAACGAGATTAACAAAAAAATGTGTGTTGCGAGAGATCGCTGCGAATGGTTTTATGTCAAGTGTTGCTTTATAACGAGATTAACATAGAAGTTTCACAGATGGAAAAAGCCACGGCAGCTTCCAAGAGGCAGTGTGAATGGTTTTATGTCAAGTGAGCACTTAGTCAGTCCAGAGAAGACTTCTACCATTAATTTATCAGGAAGTTCCCTGCGAGTGGCGCGTGCCTAGGTGTGCCCACAGTCGTTTTCTTCGCTTTGGGATTGTAATGGCTCGGAAATGGCGTCTTGTGACCGACACCAAGCACGCAAACAATAACTTTTTACCTCTAAACCTATGATAATGAATATGTTGATTGAAGAGATAAATTTGTTGGGACAGGATAAAAGATACACAATTTGGAAAAACCTGGACGCGGGGTGGATTTTTCCAATGTCTTCTTTTGTTGTATGCGTCTGCATACGAGCACGAGCTCTCGTGCAATGTGGAATCTTCTTTGATGTTGAACCCGGGAACTTATCATCAGCTGTTAGAGCTTTCCTGGATGCTTCGTGGGTACTGCCTGACAAAGGCGGTCGGACTTCTCTGGTCGTGACTAGGACAGCAACCCGATGGTCAATTACACACTTGAGCAAGTTATATTAGCGTTTGCAATGTGTGGCGCCTTTAAATTTTGATTTAGTCTTTACCTAAAATTCAATGCTTGTTCCTGTCAGACCTCAGGTCGGTCCATAGATAAGTCCTGTCAATTGACGACCAAAAAAAAAAAAAAACAGTCCTGTCAATTGTGACCATCGGACGTGAAGAGCTTGAGATGAATCCGATTTCCGTCTATATGCGATTTCATTAGTTGATAACCGTGTGGAAAAGACTGATCTTAACTCTTACCCATTGCTTTTCTCATTATGCGTGAATATAAGGTCCATTTAAATCTCATAGCCAAGCGTTGTGAGATATTTTCATACCCCCTTTTTTTCTCTTCAGTTTTTCTCTTTGACTATACTTCAGTGCTATTGGTCTAGTCAATGATTACAGAAAAGCAACTTCATGGTTTTCACATTCCACACTGATCTTTATGTCCAATTGAGCTGTCCGAGAAAACTTCGATTTTAGTGAGGAGAGAGAAGAAACTTGCATGTTTTATATCTGGAAGTCCTAAAACTTATCATGAAAGTGTAATCGAGTCTTAAAACTTTCAAAAAGTGCAATCAAGTCCTAAAACTTGTCACGAATGTTATATCGAGTTCTAAAACTTTCAAAAAGTGAGTTTTATGACTCAATTGTATTTTCGTGACAAATTTTAGGACTTTTAATGCACTTATCTCTTTTATATACGTACGGCATTAAACTTGTCATGTTGGATCAAAACTCGAATTGTTGATAAATGATGATCCCTCGATTCAAAACTGCCCATTTCACATTGTTTGGTTGGATCAAGCCCAGTGCAAATTTAACCGGAGCAATTGTTTGTTCTGTTTGACCCTAATGGCCTCAAGGACAACAGGCCCAATACTGTAGAAGACCAGAGGCTAGAATTGCTGATTTCCAGATTTGATCAAATCTGGTAACCATATTAAAATAGGTCTGTGCTGTTATATCTTATTTATTTTTTTGGCCAAGTAATGATCTTTTAGCTGAAATTCCCCACCTTGGATAGGAATTCCAATCCAGTTATAAGAAACACAAATGGCTTTCCAATTATTGATACATGTTCAGTCTAATTTTTTCTCATAATTCATCCTATTTAGAAATTGAGTGATTGCACTTCCCAGCCATTCATTCATAAAAGCATGTCCTTGTAAGGACATTGTTGACTTCAAGCTAATGCAAATCATCATGTGTGTGGATCCACCTTAATTACCAAAAATACTTAATTTAACGTGAAGAAATTGAGCGACCTATGAGTCCTATTATATTTCATACAACATCTCTCAAAGCATTTCACGAATCATAACCCACAAAATATTCCAAGAGATGTTTTACTATGTCAATTCAAATAACCAAAAGGCTGTAATACCCGATCCAGTTTTATGCAACAAACATACTGTAAACACCGCTTTTCTTTTAAAGAACTATTATACCGTCAGTGGACGTTTGACCCAAACATATAGTCTCCTAGTAGAGTCTTAGTCGACGTTTGCTGACGTAAGTTTGACGTTTGGTTAATGCTTGATAAGATTTTGAAACTTTCCAAATGGCTTAGTTTGCGATTTGGCTTTTGATTGTAGTTGAGTGGTGCTTTTATTTCCTATGGATTTTAAAATATCATGTCTCGAAAACTTAGTATATGTTATGGTATAAGATAAGCATAGCACGACATGGTATTTGAAAGAAAGTGATAGTGCTTGGAGAATTTGCTTTATAAATTTTGGACCGGAAATTGACTACATTTTCATTACTAGGATTTGCATTGTGATTTGTTACTTTTCGTAATTACAACACTGTGAGCTTAGTTTGATGATTACTTTCTGCAATGAATTATAAATGTGAAATGCTAGGTGGAAGTGTTATATGATTTGACTTGTGAACTCTAATTATAAAGTAAGTTTGATAGTTCATACGTTTGATTGAGAGTGGCATTGTTGGACTCCATGCCCTTTTTACTACATGAAACCTTGAGTCCGGTAGTAGGTATATGGTATACATACTACTTTTTAGGCTATTCTGTGTGGGTCGAGCCACCAGCTAATAATAGGTAGAGACTTATATTAAGGGGCAAACTTTGTTGTGAGCCTTGCCACGAGGGGCGCATTAGGGATAATTACCAAAAAAGTCTTAAACCTATTGCATTTGTATCAATTTAGTTATAAGCCTTTTGACAATTTGCCAATGTAGTCCATCCGGCTAATTTTGATTGGAAATCGCTAACGTGAACGCCAGCTGTCCTACGTGGAACGGCCGGCACTAATTTGAACAATTTTTGCAAATTTTTAAAATGTTTTTTGAATTTTTTATAATTTTTTTGTTTTCTTTTTCTTTTTTCCTTTCTTTTTTCCTTCTTCCTCCGTCGATCGCTAGCCCCAGCAATGACCGGCGACCGACCACAGGTGAGGGTCAACCTCGCTCGTCGAGCGAGGCTTGCCCTTGCAGGGGCGAGGTTTCCCAAGGCTGGTGAGGTCACCTCGCCAGTATCTAGTGGGGGTCGACCTTGTTGGCCTTGAGCGAGGCTCGCTCTCGCCAGCTTTGGATGAGGCTTAACCTCGTTGGCCTCTGGCAACCTCGCCCTTGCGTGGGTGAGCCTCGCTTGGCGAGGGAGGCAAGCAAGGTCGACCTTCGTTGGCCTTGGGCGAGCCTCACTCGGTGGGCGAGATCGGCTCTTGCTAGCCAATGAGGAGGCTCGGCAACCGGCGGAGGAAAAAGGAAAAAAAAGAAAAGAAGAAAAGAAAAAGAAAATAAAAAAATATTTAAAAATTTTCAAAAATTGTTTATGTCAGTGCCAGTCGTCAGTCATGCCACGTATGACGATCGACGTCCATGTCAGCGATTTTTCTGGCCAAAATTGGTTAGATGATAATCAATTTTGGCCGATTACCCTTTTAAATTGGATTAAATTTGCCAAATTAAAAAGGTTTAGAACTTTTTTAGTAATTTCTCCTGCCGCATTCCATGACAATGGGCGAGAGATTAGTCAAATGAGCTCGACCATTGACATAGTTTTGTGTTTTATGTTAAAATGCTATCTTGTGACCGCATGTTTGGATTTATTGCTACAAATGCATTGTTTTGGCTCTATAAGCTTTGTTAATTGTTTTTTTAGCGAAAACGATGTTTACAAAATGTGCATAAATAGTGTTCTATCCCATAATGAGATAAGTATCAATCATTGAGCTATTGGTGGCTCACTCATTTCCATTAACATTTTTGGTACCTTACCTTGTGACGCTTAGGAGGAGTGCTTCGACTTGGTGATTTTTCGGCCTTGTTCTTTTGGTATTAGTTAGTGGCCAAGATGTACATGTTGATGATATAATCTTTTTTGGAGATAGCTGGTTCGGGGCATGCTTTTATGTCGTTTCCGTACATTTAAGACCTTTTGACCAGCTTTTCTTGGCCTTTTGTTATGTATGGTGATTTCGAGACTTCGTCCTTCTCTTAACGGATGGCTATGTCACCCCTTTTTCCTCGTGTGGATTTAGGGTGTGATATCGTTGCCAATGGAAGATAACGGTAGTGTACGGCACCCTCGCAATGGTGAGGTTTCTATGAAGTTAGAATAGATATAGATATATATATTTTAGAATATATTTAAAAACAACAAAATTTGTGAAGTCTTGCAATTTATGCAGGTAGGTTATGTCCTTGTCGGTAATAAATTTCTTCTTATTGTAATCGATCACATTTCTCTTATTATTTGTGATATCTAGCTTAGCTACACATCAACTATGACATTTCAAGCCTCATATGAATTAGGAGAAATTCTGTTGACTGATATATAAGTTAACATCCGCTCCCATCACTCAAATCTTTTGGGAGATTGCTGTAAGTAGAAGGGGCCGGGTTCTTAGGTCAAGAAATTAATTATCTGGGTTCGGATAATTCTTCAGGAATGAGTAATGAAGAGGAGACGTCCGCATTCCCTTGAAGCCTTCCGAAGTTCCACGAGAGATGCTGATACTTCAAATAATACTTCTCCCATCTCCCCTCGATGCTATGGCCTTCGAGAATTCGGACTACTTGTGCCATGGATGGTCGTTCTCTTGGGTCTATTTGTGTGCACAAAAGAGCCAGCTGGATCACTTTCTCTATCTCCTCTTCAAACTCACCCTGCAGATCGGGATCGACTAGAATTGCCCATCTACGCTCTACCAGAAGCCCTTTTACCCAATCGAGTAACCCCATATCCGCGTCATCTGCAAGCCTTGCAAGATCACAAGCACTTTGTCCGCTCAAGAGTTCTAGAAGCATTATCCCAAAACCAAAGACGTCGTTCGTCACTGAGCATTTCCCGGTAATGATATACTCTGGCGCAATATGTCCTCTTGTGCCACATATCGCTGTCGTGTCATCAGAATATTCACCGTGGGATCCTCCTTCGGATTTGTTCCTCGGAAGCACGGCTGCCTCCTCGATGCCATCCTCAAAGTATCCACCGTGCCTACGGTGGATGAACTTGGCCAACCCAAAGTCTCCAATGTGAGGCTCAAATTCCTCATCCAACAGAATGTTTGCAGCTTTGATATCTCGGTGCACTATGTTCAGATCATGCAGATGGGACAGCCCTCTCGCAGCGCCCGCAGCTATTTTTCTGCGGGTAGGCCAGTCCAGCGGGGGTTGTGCCTCGGGTCGCTCTCTTAAGCACGATGCTGCACTTCTATTGATCATCAAGGGGCAGACGAGAATTAGCTCCCTGCATTTTGGTGTTCCGCAAAATCCGACCATGGGAAGCAGATTGTGACGTGGGGGTACGATGCTACCGATCATTACTTCTCTTTTATACCCTAAGATACCTCGATTGCTTTGTGCATTGCATCTTTTGATTGCCACTAGAGAGCCATCAGCTAATTGACCCTCATAGACTTCACCAAATCCGCCTCTCCCTATAACTCTCTTGTTGCTGAAATTTCGGGTGGCTGCCTTCAACTCCTTCAGAGTAAACTCTTTAAGCTGTCTTTGATGAAATTCTGGACGGACATCAAAGTTGATACCGTGAAATGGCGTCTCTGTGAATCGGTCTCGAATCTCATCATCGTGAAATTCAAAAGCAGGGGCTGCCAAGACAAGAGAAGCACCGGCAGAAACAAGTCGGGTGACAATGGTTTTGGTGAAAGTGCAAGTGTATTCGCATGGCTGACAGAGTGCTACGGAGGGTGATGACGACGGAGTAGGTGGAAAAGCCGGGTTGAAATCGTCGGGATCTTGGACGGGATCGAAGGTGGCGAATCTGAACACCATTTTCCTCCGTTTTCCCTTCTCTCTAGAAACCGAACCCAAGTTGCTTTATCACGAGCTTAACAAATGAATGTGTGTCGTGAGAGATGGCTGTGCCCCTCCTGGTGGGTGAGTGCTGTTATAGACGAAGTTTTAAGAACCGACTCAGAAGTTTAACGGAGGAAACTGCAGAGGAAGCTGCCACTTATATGGAAGTTTCCAAGAACCAACTCGGTAGTTTAACAGACGAAACTGCCGTGGCGGCTTCCAAGAGTCGGTCCCGAGAAGACTTTTGTCATCAATAGCGACGGAGGATGATCTGAATTGAGAGTCCAGCATAAAATTCGTGGAAAATTGGCGGTTTGGCGGGAAGCGAAACTAGGAGGGGGCCAAGTACTTTCTCTTAACCGTTGGGGTAAAGTCTAGTTGTCACCCTTCCTATTCGGGAAGGAGGTGGAGATTTCGAATCTCCACATTCTCAGAGGGTTAGAGATGGGGAAGTGTAGTTTTAGATATGGGTTTTCGATTTACACGCCTTGCAAGAGGCAGGGCAAAATTCTGAAAGTGAATTGAGAGTTAGAGTAGGACAGACAAAAAAAAAAAAGCACGTTCTCTTACGTAATAGAGATAGCTTCAGACTAATATGAATATCGAAAATTTAGTTAAGGTTAATTAATGTCATTAAAAATTCTAAACTATGTCTATTGGGTCCAATATCCCAAACTTTTCTTTGCCATCAAAACCTCTAAATTATGTATACACCGATATCAATATCCAAAATTTTGTTATACGACTACAAGTTTGGGATTTTAGTGACACAAAGAAAAAATTGGGATATTGATATCATAGTAGGCGAATTAATGGTTTTTGATTATAGATGGCGGGTATTTTTATCACGGCGGTACAATTTTGGAGGTTTTGGTGACGCAAAAAAAAGTTTAGGATATTGACGTTACAGCGACCATAATTAAAGGTTCTCGGTGGTTTTTCCCCTTTAGAAAATGAGACCGATGGCAACATCAAACGTGCACGCAACACAAACAGACAACACGACATGACCACAGGTTGCTTTGGGATTATAATGGGTCGGAAATGCCGTCTAGTGACCGGCACCAAGTAAACAGGCGATTACTATTACCTCTAAAATAGTTATAAATATTAATTATTGAATAGATGAATTTGTCTAGACAAGATAAAAGACGTATAATTTGGAAAAACAAAGACGTGCGGTGGATTTTGCCAATGTCTTCTTTTGTTGAATACGAGTACGCACGGGTACGAGCTCTCATGCAATGTGGTCTCTTTCTTAATATTGAAGCAACGAACTTATTCCAAGCTCCCGCTCGGCTCCGTAATTTAAGTGGGGGCCTGGCGGTGGGTTCTTTGAAATTAATCTCCCCGGTAGATATAGGCGCTCCGATTCACCGCGGTGCCGTCCCGGAGAATGGTGGCGGATCCTCGGTTACCAAAAAAAAAAAAAACTTATTCCAAGCTTTTCGAGCTTTCCTTGAAACTTCGTGCACCAATATTTGTAAATAAGTCTCGTCCGTTGTTACCATTGAAAACGAAGAGCGGGAGATGAATCCAATTTCCATCTAACAATTTTGATGGTGCCTGTGATTTCATTAGTTGATAACCACGTGGAAGAGACTAATTTTAACTCTCGTTTTTTCTTTTCTCATTATAGATGAATATAAGGCCCGATTCAAACCCCACATAGGAGTGATGTGAGATATTTTCGCACTTTTTATTTTTCTCTCTGACTATATTTTAGTGCTACCGGTCTAGTAAATGATTGAAGAAAACCAACTCCATGGTATTCACATTTCACACTCTTCTCTCATGTCTAATTGACCAATCAAATTAGTGAGGAGAGAGAAGAAACTTGCATGTTTTATATATTTACGGCATTAGATTTGTCATTTGTAATCAAAACTCGAATTGTTGAGTGACGGGTGCACGAGACATATCAAATAGCACTTCCTCTTGCGTGGAAGACAAAATTCATGTTATTCAACAGTTTGTTCCCGGAACTTAGGGGAGTTAGGAAGCGTACGCACAAGTTATCTTGGGGTTGGGCCGTCTATCAACTACTCCAATTTTGCTGCTCTTGTTCCAATGATTTGGTAATGTAGGATCTTATTTGTGTGCTTCCGTTCTGAACATGACCGATATCCCCACGATTCATACATAACTCAGGCCCATCCGCTTTATTTGGTGGGATTGTGCCCTTATAAGTATGTCACTCGGATGTCAAATACAAATTCAACTGGAGCAAATTGTTTGCTTTGTTGGACCCCCATGCCCTCAAGGACAACAAAGCCCAAATCTGTAGAAGGGAAAACAAAAGAAGAAAAAAACCAGAGGCTAGAATAGCCGATCTCCAGATTTGACCAAAACTGGGAAGCACATTCATTCATAAAAGCACGTTCTTGTCAGGACAATGTTGACTTCAAGCTTACCACAGAAACAATGTTTATCACAATGACATCATCCCGTAGCTGTCCACACCCCGAAACCGACAAGAGTGAGAGAATGGCATGACCGTCTTTTCACCCAAAAGACTATTATTTCAAGACATGAGTTATAGAAAATTAAAGAAAAGATCAGTACCACTCACTTAAAAATGCCCATAACCAAATAACACTAAATTACTTGAGCCGTTGAACTTGCAATCCTATCAAATCAGTGAGGAATAACATCAAAATCCAGTAAAACGCTACATCAACTACGAATCGGCTAAATCAAACTTACTTGCTAACAAAATGACTCCTACACACAAAAAAAAACTCTCGTTCGGAGCAGATATTCAAAGCTATTGGCAATGCGGAGCTTGAACGTGAAACTTTAATTTAGAATTTTGCTCAAACTAAACCGTTACTTCAAATCAACTCCTTTCAAACCCCACGACTCCGCAACACCCTTAACTACCATTTCCATGAAATCTTTCAGCTTAACAACTCAAAAATCGAGCCTCGTAGTTCAAATTTCACATTACTTCTAATTCTGAAAACTAATCTAATTAGACGATTAAATGGTTTAAATCCTTACCGTACATTGCGAATCAAAGTAAATCCGACTTCATGAAGCCTCCGTCGTGTGTCCGCACGAGATCCTCATTCCCTTTTTCCCTTTCTTCTTCTTCTCATTTTTCTTTCTTTGCTTTCTCTCTTTCGCGTGCTCTCTGTCTGGGCCTAGCGTCTCTTTCCCTTTTTATTTTATTTTATTATTCCCCCCCTCCCTTTATTGACCAGTCAACTTTTTCCTTTACTTTTTCTTTGACCGAGTCATTTACTGTAACTACCAAGCAACCTCTATAGAAGCTCTTCCTCTTTGAAATCTCTCCAAGCAAGTTAAAAAAATAAAAAAAAGAAAGAAGAAGAAGGACCAATGAGTATACGATCGGCTTATTGCCAATTATATGGATATACGCTCACATATACATTACGTTGTATTCCCAAGAAACCATATTTTGGCCAAGAAAGCTCCAAGACAACTGGAATATAAACTTTTTAATAGAAACTTAGAATGCTTTTGGCTCAAGTTATCGCTGTGTGATGAGGCAACATGTAATAGCAGAAACCTGAATTAGAGTTTAGACGAAATTAAATATAAACGTCTAGCAGTAAAAAAAAAAGGTTTTGCTTTGGTTAACATTGTTGATCTATGATGCTCAGTATCTGAAACCCAATATCAACTTCGACCAAGATTTTCCTCTTTAAGGAGTCATTTCCTATGAAAGAGCACATTCCTGAAAGCTTCATCTGTTGAATGAAATTCGCATCAACTGAGTCACTTGCCGCAGAATCGGTACCAGATTGTGTCAGAAACACCATGGAGTGAGATCTTGCAAGTTGCTATCGAGTTATCATAAGAGCAGCAGTACATCGAACCCAACATAACTTCTTATTTGCTTTTTTGTGTCGAGCAACTAATGAACCTTCCAAATATTTTAGTTCTAGATACTATCATCCAGTGCAATGCGCACTTCTGTAAAGACTGAGAAACGAGATCCTTGCATAATGATGTCTATTAACATCTTGGAGCACAATATTCAGTTGGGTCCCCAGCAACTGAAGTACATGACTTTCCTAAGAGGCTCCTCCGATTGCTTCGCCTTTTCGACTCTCGTCAGAGCTGAAACCCTTTCAGAGGACAGCGAAGCATTGTTCCTGGATTTAAAGCAATTTAGGGACCTGACCTGACTCTTTAATTTTTGATTCGCTGATGGCATTGTGTAGTTTAATGTAGTTGATTCCTGGTGTTCCGATTCCCCGACTATTCCAACCCTGGGAAAGAAAAAGGGCAAATTCAAGCTCTGCCTATCAGAATTTAAATGATATTGTGTGGAGAAGAGGAGAAAGTTCAGAGAATTTACCCGAGCCGTTCCTTTCCAGAGAGAGGCCTCTGTTGTTGAGTACCATGCAGCGTTGCAGGCAAAGCGGCCCGTGGAGAAGTAATGGCAATTCGTCCAAATACTCCTCCAAAGCAAGTGGCACTTCTTGTAGGAGGAGAAGGCGGCAGCGTTAAAAAAGGAGCAAATGGGTCTGAACCAGGATCAACATCGAAGGTCCTCATTTTGAAGACCATCTTCTGTGAGTATAAAAAGGAACACCACAGCTTACGAGATCAGAACTTGCCTGCCGTTGTTGAATACACCTCGGCAGTTCAATTCTCTTCAATCAGATGAACAACAAGGTTCAAGATGCCTGAATTGACCTCGAAGGAAGAAATGATCAAGAACCTGTGCCTTTCACCTGTTGGCTAATTCGGATCAAGTGAAACTTTCTTTGTGGCCTTATGGAGTTTTGAGGTTTTGAACTTGGTTGCTTATATGTATGAATTGCATTAGAGAGAGAGAGAGAGCAGGTGAAGATGATTGATCGGCGGTGGTGAACGAGGGAAGTGAAACCAGCTGATGGTGGTACTTGAGCTTTTGTGTGCATTGGTGGCGAAAGAGGGCTTTCGCAGTTTATCTCACCGAGAAAACAGGGGAATGGCATGTGACAGCACTATAAGAAATCCTGAACAATTGGGAGTGCCTTCCCTTCTTCGTTTTTTGGTCGGGTGTGACAGTACTCAAAGAATTCCTGAACAATTGGGAGTGCCTTTCCTTTTGGTGAGCGAGAAGTTGGCAATTGACCTTTTGCTTTGCCTTTCCTTTCGCACAAGAAACTACGTGGAAAAAACAAAAGGTTTTTTCTTTCTTTTTAAATTGCCGCCCTCCATGTTATTCTTGCATATCCCTTGGACCGAACCAAGTGCATGCTCCTCCCTTTCGACCGGCATAGGCGACGGTAATGATCCTCAAAAACTCTCTTAGAGCCTCTAATGAAGTCCTAGTTTGTTCTGTGCTGGTAGCAATAAAGGGAAAAAAAAATAGGACGTTTGACTGATATACTCGCTCCTGATTATTTATTTATTTTTTAATTCACGGGTATTTGTCTGGAGACCCGGTAGACAGTTACTTTGAAGTCCATGGAACACCTTGCGGTCTCGTGAAGCGAGTAAACGTAAACTCGTGGGGTTGTGTAGGTGGCCCCCACCGGAATAATTTGGCCTTAATTAAAAAAAAAAGCACCAATTTTAGGTCGAGGGACAATTCTGACCAAAAATTTTTTTTTTCCTATAAAAAAGCACCAACTTTAAGTCGAGGGACAATTCTAGCCCGAATTTTTTTATGTCCTGTAAAAAAGCACAAACTTTAGGTCGAGTGACAATTCTAGCCCCAATTTTTTTTGTCTCATTAAAAATCATCAACTTTCATCATGATCCTAAATTTGGCCCCCCGTTGACTTTCACCATTGTTTGAGAAAGAAGGTTATGGTGGTGAGCTTGGCGAATCTCGTCCATGGCTTTTGTCGATAGGCAGTGGTTAGCTTCAGATTACGTTTGACCAGAGAGATTCAATCTTGAGATATTTTTGACTTGTTAGTGAAGTGAAGAAGACGAACAGTTGCACCGTTATTCTTCAAATTGTGGCTTAGAAAATAAGACAATGAATATTGTTTTAAATCCAGTCAGCAAGTCACGTAGATTTATTGCTAATGTGGAATAGTCAAGTTAGATAATCAATGGTTCTAAGTCAATGGGGCTTAGATTTGAGATTTAAGTGAAAGTTGATGCCTTTTTACAAGATAAAAAAAAGTTGGGGCCAGAATTGTCTCTCAACCTAAAATTAGTACTTTTTTATGGGACAAAAAAAAGTTTGGGCTAAAATTATCCATTAACCTAAAGTTAGTGCTTTTTTATGGGACAAAAAAAAGTTCAGAAACACTACTCGATAGATGATAAACATTTTTCATGGATTGAAAGTGACAAGTTTAAATTAGGGAAAACGACTTCCCCTTGTGACTAAAATGAAATCATTTTTTATGATTTCTTATTTCGCATCCAAGTGAGAAGAGTGAGTTGATCCCTCTAAGTCTATTTCTTATTTCTCATCAATTTCTTTCTATTTTTTCTCAATCATCTTATATATTTTTTCATAAATCTTTTCTATCATCTCCTGTACATACTTCATTAATGCTCATATTCTCCTATATTCCCAAAAAAACATGATCATATATAATAAAAATTAGAGTTTATCATGAGCATAACAAACGAAGGTGTGTTGTGAGAGATCATTGTGCCCTTTCTTCTCGGGGGTGAGAGCGGTTAAATGGAGGTTTTAAGAACTAACGTAGAAGTTTAACAGAGGCAACTGCCGAGGAAACTGCCATGGCACCTTCCAAGAGGCAGTGTGAATGGCTTTATATAAAGCGAACACCAACTCAGTCAAGAGAAGACTTTCATCCTGAAATTATGAGGTGTGTGCCTGTGTTGCCTCCACTGAAATTGCCACTTTCCGAGCACCAAAGGCCCCTCTCCTCGTCAATTTAAGCTTCATTGCTGAGAAAAATGGTCCAACAGATGCTTAGACCCTAGAACCATCTTTAGCGACCAATCAGCAATCACAAGTGTCTTAATCAATCTAGAAGTTGCTGGTTCAGGTTATGCATAGCGGACCAAAGCATTGACCTAGGCTTTTGTTGAGATACACGTGTGTGTTGTGTTATAGAAGTCCTATATCGAATAATTGATGTAATGTTGAGCAGTTAATATATCCTAGTTGATCTATAACTCATTGGCTTAAGTTTTTGAATGAACGTGAGTCTAATTGGATATGTTGATGGACTTGGACTTGAGCTTCCACTTGGCGATCTCCTCAGATGAAGGTATCGGATTTCTGCTGCGTATTCCCAACAGCTTTTACGAAGCAAGTCCCAACTCAAACAACTTCAAGTCAATAGTTGTGTGCGGGGCTTCTTCTGGGGCATATCAGCCGTAGAAATATTTAACAACCAATATAGACACAGACGACCCACCACCTGCTGATACGAGATAAATATTACCTTTTGATCTTGAAAGATGCATTTTGGTAATACCATAATTCCAGGACCTACTGAAGCTATCGGTTGCACCTGGTGTAGAGGAATGCACCTTTTTCAGAGCCGATTTAAGATAAATATATGTTAGTTTATCTAAAGTGTTCATTTTTTAGAGCTAAACAATACCTTAGTTAGGAACTGATATGACAAAATCTGCCGGTGTACCATCTTCCAAAATGAAAGTTGTTCAGTGAAATTAGCTCACTGATTATTCTTTTCTATGACAAAAGGTAACTAATTCTTTTTGCATGTGTTTGAAAAACTTACTTGTACTCTTGTTCTGCCGTAAACTTTCGAATTAACCCACAATATCCACTTTTGTTCATTCTTCCCCATCTGTTTGCATTCCCTCTGCAATTGGGGTTGTTAAGATGAGAGAAGCGCTGACTGGAAACCGGACGATGGCTACCGCCTTAGTGCAGCAGGGACCACGCTATTGACCACAGCCTGATGATGATGTCGTGGAAGGAGAATGGTAGGATCTTCAGGAAGAGTGATGGTGGCGAATATAACACAAACGAAACTACAATGCAGCATCCGAGAAGCACTCTTTTTGGCTTTTTTGGAGACTCTCGTCGAAGTCAATAGAGCAGAATATTGAACCAGCTCACTTGACGGGGAAATTGTCCAAAAAGTCTTAAAGTTATTATACGGTGGTCCATTCAATCCTAAACTTTTCAATTGAGCCAATTTAGTCCTAAAATTTTTGTGCCAATTTAGTCATAAACCTTTTGATTATTTGCCAATTTAGTCATAAACATTTTAATGAATTATTAATGTAGTTCTTCTAACTAATTTTGGCCGGAAATCACTGATGTGGTAATCCACTTAGTGCCGGTTGTCTTACGTGGTGCAGTTGGTGCTGATGCGAATAATTTTTTTTAAAGTTTTTCCAAATTTTATTAATTTTTTGATACGTGATGATGATCACTGTCCTTTAGGTATTTTTTGCCCCACTGTTGTTGTTGCCGGGTTTAAAACAAATATATCTTCATAATATACACCAAAGCCACAAAGAAATGATTTCAGCTGTTACTCAATTTCCCTCTTGGAATTTCACCTTAAATGTGTTGTCAAACTTATGTGAGAAAAGAGAAGAAAAGAGAATGTTGTAAAGAAGAGAAAGTTGTCGTTCTTGAACAGTTGTGATGAGTAATGTATGGTTTGGTCCTATCTATAGCAATTAATCAACGCATCCATTAGGAATAGGTACCTTATTGTAACCATTATCACTTTTCATAATCAACCTTCACTTCTCTTCATGTCGACAATCACTCTTTTCATATCCACAATAACCTCTTTTCATTATAATAAATTATTTCAACAATGCCCCACTTTCAAACCTGACCCAGTTATGGTTTGACTCAGTTATGATATATGCGATTGGGGCACATGAGTAATACATGTATGACGATGCTGAGTGAGAGGAGGCTGCTGAAAGGTCAAAACAAGGAAGCTGAACTTGTGTGAGCACCGCATCTTTAGGAAGTTGTGCCGAATTAAATTCTATACAGGAGTGCATTCAACTAGGCAACCGGTTGAATACATTCATTAAGATGTTTGGTGTCCATCTCTAGTTCCTTCGAAAGGAGGTAACCTGTTATATGCTGACAATTCTTAAAGGAAGGTATGGGTATACTTTTTGAAGCACAAACCTGATGTGTTCAATCAATTCAATAAGTTTGAGGCACCGATTGAGAAGCAGTCAGGTAAATAGATCAATTAATGGCATGGAGTTCTGTGATAACGATTTTACCGATATCTACTAGAAAGAAGGGATTGTGAGACATCGCACAGTTCCTGAGACACCATAGTAGAATGGAAGAACATAACTTTACATGAGCGAGGTAGGTGCATGCTTGAGCATGTAGGATTAAGCGAAAAATATTGGGTCGAAGATATTTTATATGGCCCATTTAAATGGTTAATTGATCTCCATTTTCTACTATCGAGTGGAAGACTCTTATAGAAGTATAGTCGAGGAAATCTGTTGACTACTCCGAATTGCAAGTATTATGATGTCCTACGTACGCTCATGAGAGTGATGGCACGTATGAGCCGAGGGCAAAGAAGTGCATATTTTAGGGTTATGCGCATAGGGTGAAAAGCTATCAGTTGTGGTGCATCGATCCAGATCACCCAATTTTATAGTCAGCGGAGATATAATCTTCGATGAGATTGCTATACTTTGAAAGAGGAATCTTGAGACTCAACTAACAGAGCAAACGGAATATGGTGTCAATAGTAAGGTGGAGCTTTAGGAAGATTCTCTAGAGACTTCAAAGGTAACAGAGGAAGATATTGCAAATGAGGCCGTAATTTTTAGAGCTAGTGACACAGAACAAGCAGCAGAACTGCAACATAGTATAGCCACGAGCATATAGAGAAAGAAAACCAAACCATCGTTAAGTTCAGTTATTTTGATATTGCCTATGCTTTGACTGTAGGTGATGAGGTGGAGACAAATAAGCCATTGTCTTACTCTGAAGTGATGGCTAGTGTTAAGTCGTTGTAGTGGCTAGAGACTATGAGTGAAGGAATGGAAGCACTTCATCAAAATCAGACATAGGAGTTGGTCAAAGTACCAAAAAGCCAGAAGATTGTCGGGTGCAAATGGGTCTACAAACGGAAGGAGGGCAGTCTCGGTATCATGGTAGCGAGATATAAGGTGAGACTTGTTATAAAATGGTATACTCAGCAAGAGGGCATTGACTACAATGAGATGTTCTGTTATGTGGT